AGCTTAGAGCATAGTAAGACTGTCATATCTTCTATTTTACAACTGTGTATTTATGGCACACCTGCTGTATGCAGAGCCCTATGCTAGGAGCTAATTAGTTCCAGCGTCTGGAGTTTCTGGCCGGTGAGCGAGCCTTCCTGGAGATGCTTATGCAGTCAGCAACAAATTGGCAACTTATCTGGCAGGAAGCACTGAATGTCCTGCCATGAAGAATTTGAGCTCATCCCTCCTAGCCTTGGCTCTAGTAAATTCCAAGCTAGCTCCAGGCATGCCCCCGAGGGATTTCTGAAGCCTGGAATTCAAAAGTAATTCACTTTGACATTTACTATGTGTGAGGCACTGTGTTAGACCCTGGGCATGCAAAACTAAAAATAAAAAATCCACTGGCACATTCATACAACCCAACTCCTACCTTCAAGGAGCTTTATTCTACTGGGAGGAAGCCGGGAGGGGAGAACAAGAGGTACTCAGATAATTAAGATTAACCAGTTAACCTCCCTCCTGAACACTCACTACTCCTGCTCATCATGAGCCGGCCAACGTGTGGCATCTTAAGCCCCACACATCTTAAACAGAACTCACCGATCTTTCTCGTCCTCCAAAGGCTCCCTTCCTCCCAACTTCCTTGTTCTTGTCCGGGACCACCCTCTTCCCAGTCACTCAAGCCTGCAGCCTAGGGGCCACCCTCAGCTCCTCACTGTCCCTCGCCCCCATATTGAATGCTTGGCCAAATCTCCTCATTTCTACCCTCTCGACAGCTGTCAGACAAGCCCCCTTCTCTCTAGTCACTCAGCCACTCCCTGGCTCAAGCCAACCCCTCATCCCCTTGGACCTGACTGCAATAGCTTTCTCATAGGTCTCCCTGCCTCAGCTTTCTACCCACTCCCATCCTTTCTCCCATCAGCTGCCCGAGTCTGACCTCACCCTGCCCAATGAGCATCAGTGGCTCCCTATTACTTCCAGGATCAAATTTAAACTGCATTGCTTGGCATTTAAAGCTCTTCCCAACTCGGCCCCTTGAAGCTCCTCAGGGCAGCCTCCTTTCCAGCAAAGCTAGCTGTTGCCATCCCCGACCCACACCACCCCATCTCCCATCTGCTTGTCTTTGCCTGGCTGTGCCTGACACTTGGATCTCAGTACCCCTTCTCCTCTACTTCTTAGTTACCCCAGCTACCTTTAAGAATTAGCCAAATCACACCTTTTGCCAGGGGCTTTCCTGGCCCCCTGGGCTGCCAGGTGCAGATAACCTTGGACTGGCTAGCACATCTTTTGTGGATCTAGGTATTTATGTGCTGTCTCTGTCAGACTGGCAGCTCTTTGAGGGCAGAACTTGTGTTGTTTACCTTTCTTTGTATTTCTAGGGCTTAGAACTGTGCCTGGGGCAGTTAATGGGCACTTGGTGAGTTAACCTGACAGGCAGAGGAATTGGAGAGAAAGGAATCACTAACAATTGGAGGAATAGTCAAGGTCACTGGAAGGAGGAGCCATTGGAGTTGAGTGGGGCAGGGCTAGAACTACCAGTGGGTGGAGGGGAGGAAGGAGGGCATTCCTGGCATAGGGAACAGCTGAGGCTAAGGCCTGGAGAGGGGAGATTGAGTGGCATTCATGAGGACCCAGAGTAGGCCAGTTTGGCCGGGCCGAGGAATGCCCGCTGGAGAGCAATGTGCAATCATCCTGAGAAGAGAGAGGACTGTCAGAACCGAAGACAGTCCTGCTCTCCAAATCATGCGGGTTTGCTACGGTCCTTTAAGCTCCTACTTCACTTCTTTCTCAGGATAGTGAAAGGCCATTTTAGGATGATAATGTTACCAGGAATGAAAAATCATTTGTTAAGCACTGTGAAAGCATATTTAAAAACTTCTATTTCAGAAAAAGTGAAAAATTTAGAAATAATATTTCTCTGGAGCAAAACCCTTTCTGGCCTTCCTTGTGTGAAGGTAGGTAGGGGAAGGCCAAAAGGCTTCTCTAAAGGAAAATGCATTAAGCGCATTTAGTCAAAAACCTAGAACCAAGGGTACCTCCAATCTTAAGAACGGTCAAGAGCCAGAAGACATTGGTGCTAAGCCCCACCTTGGCCACCAAGAAAAGGTTCCGGTACCAAGGGCAAGAGGTCCCTTTGTTTACACCAGAAGGAACGAAGTATTGACCATTGATTTGGAATATTAACTTCAAACTGAATATGTTATGTATTTCTATCTTTTCCTTGTTTAGGATTCCTAAAAGTGTTATATCAACTTGTCTTGAGAAAGTCATGTCTGAGGGCATGGAGGAGCTGTGCCAGGTTAAACCTGTCTCTCTCTCTCTCTCTGTCTGTTTGTCTGTCTCTCTCCCCAATCACTCTCTCTTTCCTCCCTCCCTCTCTCTCTCTCTCTGTCCATCACTCCTCCCACCCCACCCACATAAAAATTGTTTCTGGTGGACTTGGGCCTAAAACACAGAGAGTAGTATTAATATTTTTCCTGTTGCATGTAGGAAAAAGAAAGGCAAACCCAGCCCTCATCCTCAAAGAACTTATGTTCTAATAAGGGGAGAGGACACCCAAAGGGGACTGGTGGCCAGGGAGGGGTGCTTTGATCCTGAAAGTCACCAGGATGCTGAGTAGGGTCTTCAGGAGCCGAGGAGGAACTGATTTGATAATGAAGTAATAGCAGAAAGGTGATTAGTCATGAACACCTTAGTTTAAATAACTTGATCAGATTAGATGCCAGATTACCTGCAGGCTCCAGGCCTGGGAGACCTGGGAGGGAAAGGTCCACAGCTGGGGCAGGGATACTCTAAGGACAATGTTCCAGAAGCACGGTGGCAGCCAAAGGGGCCACTGAGTGCCTGGGAGGTCGGGCTTCCGAAAAAGGGAGGGCAGAGAGTGAGATAAACAAACTGCTTATTTCACAATCTGACCTCGGGTTGGTCCTGGGACATGACAGTCTTGGGAAATGGTCAGAGTCAGACATGGTAGATCAACCCAGCTCTTAGGCAAGAGGGGCAGTAAAGCCCAGTGGGCAGAGCCATCCAGCTGCCCAGCAGCGGCACAAGAAGGCCCTGCAGATCCTGGTCAGCTCTTGTTCTAAGACCTAGCACCCCGGGAACGTTGATCAGGAAAAGTTGTCTGTGGCAAGAGAATCTCATTGGAGAGAAGGAAATCCCACAAACAAAACATTAACATTGCAGGAAGAAATAGTCTTGCTGGAATCCAGGTGGCCCAGTGGATAGAGGGCTGGCTTCATACACTGCCCAGCTGTATGACCTTGGGCAGGTCAATCACCCTTGATCAGTGTCATCTTCCTCATCTGTAAAATGGGGATAATAACAGTACCTGCCTCCCAGGGTTGCTGTGAGGATCGAATAAAACCATATTTGTAAAGGACTTTCAAACCTCAGAGTTACATCAGTGTTGCACTGGAACATGTCTTTGTAGATCACAGAGTTAGAGCTAGAAAGGATATGGCAGATGAAGGGTCAGACTAAGGTGGTCTCTAAAGCCCTGAATAAGTCCCAGTCTATAGTCCTGGGACCTGAGTGTGAATCTTGACCCTGCCGCTAACAACCTAGGTGAAGTAGGTCAAGTCCTTTCATATCTTTGGATCTCAGTTTCCCTATGTAAGTTGGAGGGGGTCGGACTAGATGACCCCTCTCCCAGCAAGGTCCCTTCCAGCCCTTGCATTCATTTCTGGGAGCTGCACTGTATGGGGGACATTGACAACCAAGATGATGCATTCATGGAGGGCCAACAGTTTAGAAAAAAAGTCTAGAAGCCAGAAAAGGTCACACTAAGAACAGCTGAAGGAAAGGGGTGGAGTTAATCTGGAAAAGATGGAAGAGAGCCAGGCCCAGTGGCTTCCAATATTCGAAAGGCTGTTATATGACAGAGGAAGCAAGCTTCTTTTTTTGGTTGTGCATTAGATCAGATGGTCACTGAGGTCCACCCCATTCTGATTCTTTGTGAAACTTATGCTGAGGGTAGGACCTAGGCCAGTGGATAAGAGTTACGGTGAGAGGGAATTTGGCTTCAATAGAAAGAGGAAGGGATTTCCTAACAAACACGGAATGGTTGATCTCAAAGGGCAGTGAGCTCCCTGTCCCTGGAGGTGTCCAAGCAGAGACTTTGTGAGCCCTCCCTTAGCAACGCTATAGAAGACCTCTGGCTATGCCCAGGATTCAGCTGGGTACAAAACTCGGCTCACAGTCACAGCTCCATAACTGGGGCTGGCTGGCTGCCCAACTAGAGCCATCGCTCTTGGTAATTAGAACTCCCTATTTCCACAGATCTCTAAGTGCTTCTTATTTAAAAAAAAAAACAAACCCAACCCTAACTTACTCAATGTAATCACATTCCTGTGATTCAATGTTGTAACTAGACATGGCGGCAGAGTGCCTACACGGAGAGCTGCACAGGTCCTCAGAGGCCACACCTGCCCCCATTTTACAACTAAAACTGAGGCCTGGGGAGGGACCTTATGGGACTTCCCCAAGGTCACCCAGGCAGGAAGTGACAGTCTGGCTTTGAGGCTAGCTTCATTAACTCCAATGCTAGTGTTCTTTCCACTTTGTTTCGGGCTGCAGATATGGGGGGATGCCTCTTCCCTGAAGGTCACCTCTCCAGTTCGGACACCCCTCTCTGGTCCTTTGTCAGCTGCTTTGCATCTTGGGAGTGGCCCCAGGATGCCACCTTGTGGGGTCCCTGGCTGCATTACCTCCCTCCATGTTCTCCCCCTCCCCCACCTTTCTACATAGAGTCATAGGGGGACTCTCTAAAATAAAGGTTTTTGACCTTTCTCTGTGTCATGGACCCCCTTGAGCAGTCTGGGAAACCTCTGGAACTCTTCTCAGAATGCACAAAATAAAATAAGAATACCAAATAACCCAATTATATTGAAATGCAGTTAAAAGATTTTTTTAGAAATACAGTTAAAAGTTAAATACAGCTTTAAAATGGTTTAGAATATTAGAAGTTTAGAAATAGAGTTTAAAAGTTTTTTTAGAAACAAGTTTATTGAGCTGGCCTGGTGCTGGTTCCATTCTCATCCCAATAGGATTACACCCATTAGTTGGGGTCCGCTGCCTACACTTCCTCTGCACCCCGTGTCCTCACAATTGAATTTCCAAATGACAAGTGGAACAACTCCATCTGAAAGATTAAAAAAAACAAAACCAAAAGGACCCAAGATGTCAGCAGAACCCGGGGTGGGAAGAGGGATATGGGATTTCTTATTTCTTATTCATTGTTCTCTTGTTCCTTTGAACTATTTTCTCCCTCACTAAATGAAACATTTTTACTTTACATCTCAGATCCACTGACCTTTGCACTTCCTTTCCTCCTCAGTTTTGAAAATAAGATGATACCATAGAAGGAAAAGACCTTAACTGCTTTAAAGACAAGACACCAGATCTGGGTTCAAATGGTGACTCTGCTTCTTACTGCCTGTGTGGTCTTGGACAAGTCATTTAAACTCTCCAGGAAGAGACAGAGACAAAGACAGAGGTGACAGAGATGTGCGCATATGTGTGTGTGTGTTGTGTGTGTGTGTGTGTGTGTGAGAGAGAGAGAGAGAGAGAGAGAGAGAGAGAGAGAGAGAGGGGAGGGAGGGAGGGAGAAGAGAGAGAGAGAGAGAGAGAGAGAGAGAGAGAGAGAGAGAGAGAGAGAGAGAGAGAGAGAGAGAGAGAGAGAGGGAAGAGGAGAGAGAGAGAGAGAGAGAGAGAGAGAGAGAGAGAGAGAGAGAGAGAGAGAGAGAGGGAGACAGAGACAGAGAGAGAGGGAGGAGAGGAGAGAGAGAGAGAGGGATGTTTCTTGTGTGCCAGGAATGGTGCAGTTTCTTCCTCAATAAAATGAAGGGCTTTGAAGAGATGAGCTCCCAGGGCTATCACGCTCTGGTCCTACACTGAATGACCTCCCAGGGCCTCAGTTTTCCCACCTGTAATGAGGGGGTTGGCCTATCTGGTCTCTGAGCTCCCTTGTACTGCTCGATCTATGAACCCGAGTTTGGGGAAATAAAAAGAGAACGTACCCACAAAAGGGATTGAGCAGACAGTTACTCAGTGTTTGCTTGCATGTGGCTGCGGTAGGTGTTATAAAAAGACAATGACACACACAGTGGCCCCCAAAGTCTACAAAAGGAATATCCCTCCAGTGACCACAGGGCTGGCCTTCATGCAGAGGGGGTGGGGTCACCGTGGGCTGAGGTCCAAGTGGCACAGCTGAAAGACTCCCTCTATCTAGACTATGCACCCCCCCCCCGGCCTTCCAAACTGCTCAACATTCTTAAAACACAGATTTAGGCCTGGTCATCTGATCCCACCCTCTAATTTTATAGATTAGGAAACTGAGTCCCAGTGAGGTGAGTGGCTTCTGGGGGTCCCATCAATGCAGGCCCCTCCACTGAGGCACTAAGAGGTGGAGAATTCCCCTTGGATGCCCAGAGGAACAAAGCTGGGGAGAGTCAGTGAGTCCCAGTGATGGGTAACAGATCTATGGTGGTGGTATGATAGGTTCAAATCTGATCTGTGTGAGCTGTGGCCCAGGAACAAAGAGCCTCAGGCAGCTCCCAGAACATCTCTTAAGCCAAGGTCATTGGTGGAGGGAGTCACCACACAGGGAGTCTCAGTGCTGACCCCATCACGAGCCCTTCTCCTCCTCATAGTTCTTCAATCCTTTGGAGATCTGTGATTTCATCCCAGTGTGTGTATCTTTTAACTACATGTACCTAAAACATGTAACATGCTTTTAAGTCAGCCCAGAAAACCTTGCAGATAAAACTTGGCCGGGCTTTGAATCTCCCTTCCTTTTCCTGCATTGGAAGGCATGGCAAATAGGCATAGAAGTGTGTTGTTTTGGCACTGAGAAGAACTGTTTGCTACTGGGTCTTTGGGCTGAGAGCAACAGCCCAACAAAAAGGGCTGGTCTCAGGCCCTGGATCCTTTCCTGAGCCTTGAATACCTTGGGACCTCTCTGCCTCGGCAGCAGAAGGAAAGATCAAAAACCAGCCCGGGGACAATTCTCTGCTCATTTCAAATCAGAGCCTTCCCTTCCTTCTTCCAGGACATTGGTTATGAAAAGCAGGCCCTGCCTGGAGGCCAGGCCCTTCTCAACCACAGGGCTGGAAAGCTGTGCTCACTCTGTCTGAGTTCTTCACACACACACACACACACACACACACACACACACACACACACACACACACACACATTCTGACATCCTGGAAACTTCTCCCACTCTCAGTCAATAAGTCAACACTTTGTGATCTCTTTCATTTCTTGGTGGCCCTATTCCCTGCTGGACCTTTGGGAAGCTAAGGGTACTCAGCTGCCCCCTGGGCACATCTGCCAAAGTCTCATACCTGTCATCTGTGGCTAATGGGATTTGGAACACTGGACCATGAAGGGTGTTTGTAGCTGACCATGTGGAAAGAAAGGAGGCCCAGGACACCCACTAGCTTAAGGGGCAGCAGGATTCAGGATTGCACGCTAATAAAATATTTCTGTAATGATATATTCTATGATGACATTTTTGTTGTTCAGCCATTTTTCAGCCGTGACCCCATTTGGGGTTTTCTTAGCAGAGATACTGGAGTAGTTTGTCATTTCCTTTTCCAGCTTATTTTACAGATGAGGAAACTGAGGCAGACAAAGTTAAGCACTCTGCCCAGGATCACACAGCTAGGTCAGATTTTAACTCAGGTCTTCCCAACTCCAGGCTAATTGCCTTTGTTTTATAGGGCTGAGAGTAGTTTAAATGTCACTGGGTAGGCATTTTTGTTCCTATTGGGAAGCATTCATTTCTGGGCCTGTCGAAGAACAAACTGGCCCAGCTTTATTTGCAGACTCTCATCACAGCTGACCACAGAGGGATGGGTTTTTTGGCCCTGTCTCAAAACTCTTGTTCTCAAAGACCAAGTCTGAAGGAGGTTGGTCAAGGCAAGGGACTATTTACTTCCTTCCTCCCCACCCCCAATCCAAATCAGGGATCTTCAAGGATATGGATGAAGAATTGAGGCTTTCGGCTCTACAATCTGTGATTCTGAAAACCTGAAGTTGTGCGCAGATGGAAGGGGGAGAGCTCCACTGAAGGTTCTATTGTATTTTTAGGGCAGATGAGGAAGGGCTCATGGACAAAGGACTCAGCCCCCCAATCGCTGTAGCAGCTGCAGGATCAGCCACGGATGAGCCTTGACTCGGGCTTCTTAAAAGTCTGAATGACTCCTCAGGAGCCGTCTGAGTGACTTGGGAGGTTGGCTTGGAAATCATTTGTCCTTGGGCTCCATCTTGTCCGTCGTGAAGTAAGAGCTCTGAGCTCTCCAAGGTATCGCTTCCAGCCTTCCCGACCATTCTACTCTGCTTCGGTGAAGGGGGGATTTTCTCGAGCCCGGGGCGGGATCCTGGAGGATCACAGACTGAGAACTGAGCCAATATCAATCAATCACCAGGCATTTATTAAGCACCGTACGCTGACTACTAAGAAGAGAAGAGAAACGGTCTTTCCCTCAACGATCTTCCAGTCTACCAGGGAAGACAGCGTGTAAATGCCTAGGAACGTGAAAGGTCCAGACAGGGGCTTTAAAGGAGCAACCCCAGCAGCTGGGAGACGGGGAAGTCCCGCTGCAGAAGGGGGGATTCAGGCTGAGTGTAGAAGAAAGCCCACACAGCGAGGCCGAGGCCAGGAGACAGAGGAGCGCTGGGACGGGGCAGGCTTTACGGCTAGGACCTCAGCAGTTATCTAGTCGGACCCATGCGCAGAAGACATCAACCCTATCGTTCCCCGTGATGAGAGGCCAGCCGGCTCCTGTGGGGAGATCTCCAAGGAAGGGGAGCCTGCCCCGTCAAGGCAACCCATCCTCCTTCTGGACAGCTCTGGATCCGGTTCCTTAGGGAGCCGAGTGTTGAATTTTGCAGTGTGATCTTTCATACGCAGGAAATGGGCAAGCAGTATCAGTCAAGGTTTGATCTGTTGTTTGGTTAGTTGAGAAGACTGAACGTGAGGCAGAAAGTGTGAACAATGCAGGTTGGCCTTAAAAGTTCATCTTGCATACATACACCCCTTCTGTGGCCTCCCCCCCCCCAGCCCAGCCAGGTGTTAAACATTTCCCAGCATATCCCTCCTTCTAATTGTTAGGAAGTTTATCCTGACTTCAAGCCCAATTGACCTCTTTGCATCTTCTACCCATTGTTAGGGCTCAGCCCTCTGGAGAGAAGCATTTTGCCACCTCAAAGAGGATAATCTTCCTTGGACTGCACCCTCCTTGAGTGGGGTAGAGGGCAGTAGTATTGGGCAAAGAGGAGAGGCAGAGGACCAGACCTGAGTTGTTAATCTGGGTGACCCTGTCTGGGCCTCAGTTTCCTCATCTGCAAAATGAAGGGGTCAAACTAGTGTATAAAGAGGAGTGTCTCCCACACCTCAGCCCCGATTAATGCAGCTAACAAGATGCTCTGCTCTGGTGCCTTTCTCAGCTGAGAGATCTGAATTCACACATTCATTCAATAAACATTTATTAAGGATCTACTGTGTGCCAGGCACTGTGTTAAATCCAGAATATTTGGACTTCCCATGGGCAACTGCAGGGTTAGGATAAAACAGAGAGGACAGAGAAGTTGGGAAGACCCAAGTTCAAATTCTGCCGCAGACACTTACTAGCTCTGTGACCCTGGGCAAGTCACTAAACCACTATCTGCCTCAGTTTCCTCAACTGTAAAATGCTAACCGTGCCTACCTCCCAGGGTTTTCGTGAACGTCAAATGAGGTCATGTTGGGAAATTCTCTCGGCACAGTGCGTGGCATATAGTAGGTATTTAATAGATACTTATTCCTTCCTTTCCCTCGCCCCACCCCCACAGTGACCCTGGAATAGCCGTGGTTGATGTAGCATCCGCATCGGGAGCTGAGGAACCCACCAAAGACAGATCAGACACACGCAGGACAGACACCTACAGGGCACTCACCGTCACCAGAACCCAGTAGAGAGCCTCCAAAAGCAAGCTTCATGAAGATTCCAGAAAGGGGAGAAGAGGACCTCCTGAAACCTGGAGCTGGGAGGCAGCCCTTGCCACAAGCACGCTCCAAGCCCGGGACCACCCTCCTCTGGACTCTGCGCTGGTGAGGGGGCGTGTCCCAGACAGCCCCCAGGGACGTTTTTGTAC